CCCCCCTTCGCCGCCGCCTTTCCTACGTGCCGGCTTCTCGGCACGTCCTGTGCGGGGCCGGGGTGGCCACCCTGGCCTGGCTGCCCGGTCATTGTCCCTGCCAGGCAGGCTGTGTTCTTGCCCGGTGAGGGAGGAGGAGGAGGAGGGGGGGGTGGGGGAGGAGGAGGAGGAGGAGGGGGAGAGCGACAGGCAGTCTGCTCTGTTCCCGCTACCCTTCCTGCCCCGGGAACGAACAGGCACCGCTTCCTTCCTCCTTCTTTCTGCGGGGCGAGAACAGCCCTTTCCCTCTTGGCTTTTAGCCACCGCAGGGCAAGGACCCCCTATTCCCTCTCTCCCTCCTCTTAAGTCTATGGGCTCTTTTGTAGCCTCTCAGCTGCTGGCACAGGTAGCTTTGGGCCTACAAAAGCTGACAGGAGTGGAAGGGTGACTGTACAGCGCTGGGGGATGTTCCTATATACATGCAGCTGAACTCCCTTCATGCAGCACCCTGCCTGGGGGATGTCCCTGTGTTACTCCCATGGGACAGGCAGGCACAGTGGTCGATTTTGTAGAGGCTTGGCTCGGAGTAATCCCTTAAATCTTTGCCCTCTTGACCGAAGTGCGTGTCCCTGCCTGTCCTTTCTGAATGTGGCTGCAGTCCAGCATCCCTAGCAAAGGCAGTGCTGGTTCACTGAGGGAACCCGTTTGCAGAGATGCCTCCTCAGCATGTGAACTGGATACCTCGCTTTTGCAATCCCAGCAGCTTTACTCATGAGTGTGGGGTGGGAAGGCTGTGACACATGTAAAACCGGTTTCTGCAGTTTGTGGGGGAAGAAAGAAAGCTGCCTCCTGCTCCGGCCAGCCCCACACCTGGGAAGCCGTGGCTTGCAAGGTGTGGTGCAACAGGTGGCACCTTTAGGGCTTGCGTTTGCTGGCCCTTCCTTGCTGCACCTTTGGATGGCCTGGTTCCCACGCCAGCAGGTTTCAGGGGGTCCCTGCCAAATGCAGTGTGCTGAATGTGGGGTGTTCCCCCCCCCCAGGAGAAAACAGAGTGCCAGGTGATCACTGGGCCAATTTGCCTGTCCCAGTCCCTCAAAGACCTTGTACTTCCAAAAGTTATCCCCACTGCTGCCGTTCCCCACACTGTGGTGCAGCCCTTGTCTCTGGCTCGGTCAGCTTTGGGCTTCCTGCTGAGATAGAGGAGAAAAATCAGTGTGTTTCCAAGCAGGGGAAAGAGAGTTTGGGTTGGGCTGGAGCTGCTTGGCAGTTCTGATTTCTTCCTGCCAACAGTGTCGTAGCAGAGGCCTGGTATTTACCTGGTACTACCCACACTGGGTCTCCTTCAGGTGCTGCTGGACTCTGCAAGGACAGCAGTTCCTGATGTGCTGTGCCTTAACGACTCATTTATCACAAATGGGCTTGGAAGTGGCAGGTTGTTCCACGAAGTGCAGGACACCGAATGCAGGGACACTCCTCTGAAGCAGCTTGGTTGAACGTTGTAGTCTTGTTGTGTTCGGAGCCTCTGAAGGATTTGGTTGTAGCAGTTAAGGTGCTCGAAGATGTGGTGAAGGTTATCAGGGTTAGATTTGTTGAAAAGCTCATGAAAGTCTATTGGGCAGTTTGCAGTGCTCTGCTTTCGGTGCACCAAGGCTGTGGAGTTTGGCTCATTCTTGCAAAGCATCCCCTGAAGCCTTCACTGCACTGGGAATGAAAAAGGGAAAAGCTCCAATAGCCCCCGTGAGTTACTAGCTAGGAATTTCAGAAATCCTTTAGTAAATTATATGAATACTTTATTCAGTTAATTGAAAATGGGGTTTTTTGCACATTTGTGAAAAAGTGGAAAGCTTCGCAGAGCTGTTGAGGGCTGAAAATAAGGAAGCACTACAAAAATATAGGGAAGTTGCAAACTTTCCAGGAAGAAAAAAAAAGGCAGCCTTTTCTTTGATGCTGGAAATTAAATTACGGGATGTAATAGATGATTTAGATTTTCACATGAAAACCACTCAAACCATGCTGCTTTTTCTTTTTTTTTTTTTTTTTTGTGATTTAGATTTTCACATGAAAATCACTCGAACCATGCTGCTTTTTCTTTCTTCTTTTATTTTTTTTTTAGAGTGGCACCGTTTTTGCTGTTTCTTGTGAGAAGCTCTGATTTTTTTTTGTCTGGAAGCAGCGGGAAGTGTTTTGGTAGCTTTTCGGCATGCTTGGCTAACTGATTCTTCCCCAGGAGAGGAGTGCTGGATGCACAGCACACAGCTGCAGA